TTTGGAGATGTGTTATTGTGTTGATTTTGGTTCTTTCTTTTCACATGTGGGCATTTATTGCTATAAATTGTCCTCTCAGCTCTGCTTTTATTTCACTTTATTTGTTCTACCTAGTAGCTTTTAAGCAGGGTGTTATTCAGTTTCCATGTATTTGACTGTATTTCCTTGATCTTTCTATTATTGATTTCTACTTTTATAGCATTGTGATCTGAGAAGATGCTTTATAGTATTTTGATGTTTTAAAATTTTATTGTTGTAGTTAAGTGCCATCAAGTCAATTCCAACCCATAGCAACCCTGTGTAGGGTTGTCAAGGAGTAGCTGGTGAGCTTGAACCACTGACCTTGCAGTTCAGAGAACTTTGCAGCCTGATGTATTTGCCCACATGGTGACCTGATATTCTGGAGAATGTTCCATGTGCACTGGAAAAGAATGTGTATTGTTCTGTTGTTGGGTTGAATGCTCTGTACAAATCTCTAAGGTCAAGTTGGTTGATTTGTTGTTTTGTTCTCTTGGGCCTTTGTTGATTTTTTTTCTAGTTATTTCCTGTTTTGAAAATGGTGTATTAAAATCTCCCACTATTATTGTAGGTTTGTCTAATTCTTTTTTCAATTCTGTTAGGGTTTGCTTTATATATTTTGGGGATCTTTCGTTGGGAGCCTAGGTATTTATTATGATTATGTCCTCTTGTTCAATTGACCCTTTAATCATGAGATAATGTTCTTCTTTGCCTCTTACTTGGTTTTTGCCTTAAAGTTTATTTTATCAGGAATTAGTATTGCTTCCCCTTGCTTGTTTTTTTATTGCAATTAGTTTGGTATATTTTTTTCCATCCTTTAATTTTTAATCTAGTTTTGTCTTTGTATGTAAGGTGTGTTTTCTTGTAGATAGCATATTGAAGGGTCCTGTGTTCTTATCCATTTTGCCACTCTCTGTCTCTTGACTGGTGTATTTAATTTAATTCATTGGCATATAGTATAATTATTGATTAGTATGAATTAATTGCTGTCATTATGTTGTTGTTTTTTTATGGTGCTGCTGGGTTTTTTGTTTTGCATGCCTTCCTTTGCTGAGTTCATTTTTGTGTGCCTTTTCTTGTCATAGTTTTAATGTTTCCATATCCTTCTTGAATTTTCTTTTTCTTGGTTTTTTTTTTAAATAAATGTTTTATTGTGTATTGAGTGATATTTTACATGGGGAAACATTGGTTTTACATTCATTCTATTGTATATCGTTTCATTGCCTTAGTTACCATCCCGTCCATGCATCAACCCCCAGTGAAAGGGTATACCTTGCATGCCCCCCCGCCCCACTGTCCTCAGCACACAGCCCCTTTCCCTCTCTGGGTCTCAACTCCTCAGGCACTCCATCTCTTCACATCATCCTCTCTGTCTCCATCTCAGGCCTCACTGCTTCTCTGGGTGGGGTCCCGCTCTCCGCTCTTCTCCGTTGATGGTCCCAGGGCCCTCTGCTCCTAGACTGAAAGGTTAGTCACTCCCCTCATTGCTATAAAATATCCGCCTTTACGCTTCAGTCCTCACAATCAGTCCTGGTAACAATTTTCACCATTGCATCACATGAGACCCTTCTGCATTTCTTTTCATCAGCCCTTCCTAGACAGGTTGGGTACTATTCACTGGAGACTCCACTATCCTCCCTGCCCTGTGGATCTAGGTTCCCTCTTGAAAGCTTGCAAGCCAGTCGCTTCTTACCTTTGTATCCCTCCCCCCATTTTGGGTGGCTAATGCTCAAGTTGCCCAACCCTTCCCACTCTTTGTGTGGAGGCGATGGGAATAACTCTTGTAGCCGGTAATTGTTTCCTCTTTTGAGCCACTGCAATTATATGTGTAGATCCAGTTCATCCAGGTGTATCAGATGACACTTTTTTTTTTTTTTTTCCCCTCTTTCTTCTTCCTCGGGTTGAGTTCTGTCCATCCAGTCACTGAAGCCAGGTCAAGTGGGTATTATCTGCAAGTGTGGGTGTTCTTGCATCTGTCTGCCCTCTTCTTATCAGCTGGTCTCTTCACTCGCCACTCTAGTCCTCTGTAGCTGTGTCACTGACTCTAAGCCCATGAGTTCCCCGGTCCCTCCTCGCTGCTGGGCAACCGAGTCTCCACCCGGGTTCACAGTAGTCTGCTGAACGATTCAGGGCTTAGTTCGCCGCTTCATTGGTGTTTTTAGGCCACTTCTCTTTATGGGTGACATGCGTGGTGGCCAATTAGAGCATGTATTTCCATTGCGTCTTAGTCTTGGGAGAGGATTTGTGCTGAGAGGACCCATCCACTTGCCTTGATGTCTCCTGGGCTAGCAGCCTACTTGTTCTTGTGGTAGCAGTCGGACTGCACTTAGTGTTCTGTGTTTTTCCTGTAGGTCTTTCTTTCAAGAAGTGTCTTCTGGTTTTCTGGGTGTTCCAGGCTGATCTGCTTGCCCTTTCGAGAGGAAGGTTTCCCATCTCTGAAGGTCTGGATGTGGTTAGGCTTTGATTTATATTCTTCTGTACTGCCGAGGCTCTTCAGGAATCCTCCTTCACTGGATACCTTGTAGTCCCATTTTAGGTATTCCAATCAGTTACAGGCAGAAGACAGACTTACAAGCTTTCTATGGTGACACCTCTGGCTATTCCTTTTTTTCCCCCTCCGGTGTCTGTTTTATAATATAATATATGGGAAACCAAGGTTCAAAAGTCAGCCAAGCATCATAACATTATTCCCCCCTTTTCCCCCTTCCAACCTTATCACAGTCTCTGTATCTCAGGATCCTGTTGTTCCAAGGCTTACATCATTTTTTACTTCTGTCCCATTTAGCTCCTTCATACTTGTCTAGTCGTTCTCCCATCTGCTTTGTTCTTCCATTCCCCTCTACCTACTTTTATATTGCCCCCACCTCACCTCCCAAACTGTCCTGTGTCTATTCCCTGCCCTGTGCTCCACATTCCCCTCCCGCCCTTAACCCTACCCCTATATCCTAGCAGCCTGCTAGGAATCCTTTTTAGTGGGATAGTATGGGTTCTTTTTCTTAGTCTTTTACAGTAGTGGTCCTATGCAGTATTTTTCCTTTTGTGGTTGACTAATTTCACTCAACATAATGTCCTTAAGTTTCATCCATGTTAGGAAGTGGCATGCAGCTTCCTTGTTATTTTTCAAAGTAGCATAGTATTCCATTGTGTGTATGTACCACAGCTTGTTTATCCATTCTTCAGGCGATGGGCATTTTGGCTGTCTCCATCTTTTTGCTATTGTAAATAGTGCAGCTATGAACATTGGTGTGCATATATCTTCCCGTGTTGTGGCTCGTTTTTCTTGTGGGTAAATACCAAGTAGAGGAATTGCTGGATCATAAGGTATTTCTATTTTCAACCTTCTGAGGAAGCGCCATATTGCTTTCCAGAGAAGTTGGACAATTTTGCAGTCCCACCAACAATTCAGGAGTGTCAGTCTCCCCACATCCCCACCAGCATTTATTGTCCTCAGATTTTTTGATCTTGGTATGTTTTGAAGTATTAAGTTTCTTTGATGTTATCCTATATTCTATTAATTTGTTCTTCCTTTTAAAACAATTTGTTTTATCCTAAAATCTACCTGACCTCCTCACCATTTAGATATCTGTTCCTATGCTTTTCTCTTCTTTTGCACTGTAATTGTTTTGATCATAGACTGACCTTCCAGATCCACTTATTTCATTCTTGTAGTTTTGTTTTGCTCTGGATTCTTCTATCTCACAGTTGAGCTCTGGGTGGTGTTGCCATGTATGTCAGTCTCTGGTTGTTGTCTGCTCTTGTTGGTTCTCAGTCCAAAGAATTCCCTTTAGTATATTTTGAAGTGCTGGCTTGGCTTTTACAAAATCCCTTAATTTCTGTTTACCCTGGAATGTTCTGATTTTGCCGTCATATTTGATTGACAACTTTGCTGGGTGTATGATTCTTGGTTGGCAGTTTTTGTCTTTCAGTTGTGTATGTATTTCCTCATTTGGCACTAAGTTTTGTAGTCCATTAGTACATTTTTCACTTACAATAAATCTCAATTTGGACATGTCACATTTCAGGTGTTTAGTACACACATGTGACTAGTGGCTACTGTATTAGACAAGTTAGTTGAAGGACCTTAAAATGTTAAAGTTGGAAAAATTCTTACAAAGAGTTATAGGCTGATAACTCATAGGCCAAACTATATAGCTCATGGTTTCATTTTGTTTGGATTCAGGAAAAAAAAAAACCAAAAAACTTGGATGTGAATGCGTTTAAATAAACATGTGCTTTTTGGATTCCACAGTTGCCCACCCATCTCTTTTGTTACCAGTGCCATCAGTTCTTTTGTCTGCCCTTCTAGACTAACCATCCTCTTTTCTAGTTTTCAGCTGGTGAAACTAAGGCTTTGAAAGGAAGGAAGTGATTTGTCCAAGGTTGCATACCAGATCCAGGAATAGAAGCCAGAATCATTTGACTCAGAATTTGCTCTCTTCCTATTAAATCACAATGTCAGTCAGTTGCATCCCTGCTTATATAGCACAGGATTCTTAGGAGGTTTGAATGAACTGATGTGAGGTGATATCATGGTGTTATAGTTTCTGCTTGACAGGTCATACATGCAGTGAAACACTTAGCTTTTTAAAAAGTTTCCACTTTAATAATATATCTTTTAACCTGCTATTTTAAACAGTTAATATATTGTTGCAAGCACATAATTTAAAGATGTACAAAATTGAGAAACATATGTCTTGCACATTGTAGATGTTGTATAAATATTTGTTGAATGAATAAATGAAAAAAATTCACACATTCCAATTCTTTAACAAATTACTAAGAACATTTGATCTTCTTTTCTGTGTATAAGATTTAAAAAAATCTCTTTGCTATGCATGAATTTTGTATGTCTGTTTTCTCCACTCACCATTGCAGCTAAAGTATAAAATATAAAACTTCTTTTAACCATTTTCAGATTTGTGCTGTTTTCAATCAATTTTGACTAATGTGTCTCTACCTCTTTTGTTCCCTTTCTGTTTAAGATGCAGGAGAGCTGTATGTTTGGGGGAGCAACAAACATGGTCAACTGGCAACCCAGGCTGCTTTCCATCATGTGCCCCAGAAAATAGAAGTACATTGTTTTGGGAATGAGAAGGTCACTGCAGTCTGGAGTGGATGGACACACCTGGTGGCACAGACAGGTAGGTGAGAGAAGCAGCAAATGTATGGTTGGTAAGAGCAGCTGGCGGGGCAGCTGTCTAAACAACTACAGTGCTCAGGATTAATGAAGTTGATTTTTATTGCTTTAAGGACTGTAAAGAGGAAGACCAGGGGTCTTGTTCTGAATTCAGCTAGCTATGCACTTTTTTGTCTCCAGGTCACAAATTTAGACCCTAAATGTCAAGGTTGGGGAAGGTTAACTCCTGGTCCTAAGAGGCTCTGAGAAGGGATCCACTGCAGCAAGCATCACTCAGAAATGTGTCCAGGTTTGGTGAGGAGTCTTTGCCTTGTCATAGCTGAAGCGATGATGTCTCTATTTGCATTTCCATCTGAGTCTAAGTTAAAAGCACCAGAAATATTTCAAGATTGGTAGAGGAGCATTTATTTTGAATAACAGCTGGCATTGTATTCTGAATTAAACTTTATTGATTCTAACAAACTGTATATCAATTCAGACATCCTATAGATTACCTCAGATGTTATGCTCTATCACTTTTGGTTTCTGTATAACTTTTTACTGTAGGCATCTTTGTCTTCTCTTGGACCATGCCTTCCAACTTAATATAGATAAACTTAAGTGTAAGAATATAGAATGGAACAAAAGAAAAGAGAGAGAAGACACAAATAACATGCATAAGAAATCATATGGGTGACAGAACCAACGGAAAATAAAAAGGATAATAACAGAATACTGTGAAGAGTTGTATTCAAACAAATTTGAAAATCTAGAGGAAATGGATACATTTTTAGAAAAGCGATACCTATCTAAATCAACACAGAGTGAAGTAGAAAACTTATACTGACCTGTAACAAAAGAAGAACTTGATCAGGTCATCAAAAAAATTGCTCCCCCACCCCAAAAGTCCAGACCAAACATTCAGAGAAGAGCTGATACCAATTTTACTCCAACTATTCTAGACTATAGAAAAGGATGGAAAGCTTCCTAATGCATTTTATGAAATGAGTGTAATCCTCATACCAAAACCAGGGAAGGACATCACTAAAAAAGAAAATTATAGACCAGTATCCTTCATAAAGGAGCTCTGGTAGCGTAGTGGTTCCGAGTCAGGCTGCTAACCTCAAGGTCAGCAGTTTGAAACTACCAGCGGGAGAAAGATGAAGCTTTCTGTTCCTGTAAATATTTACAACCTTGGAAACCCTATACAGGGTCACTATGAGTTGGAACCGATTCCACGGCTTACCATCACCACCACCATCACATCCATCATAAATGTAAATGCAAAAAATTTCAACAAAATCCTAGCCAACAGAATCCAACAACATATCAAAAAAACAAAACATCGCAGTTAAGTAGGATTCATACCAGGAATGCAAGGATGGTTCAATATTAGAAAAACAATCAATGTAATCTGTCATATAAATAAAAAAAAAGGAAAAGAAAGAACCACATGATCATATCAAATGATGCAGAAAAGGCATTTGACAAAATTCAACACCTATTCTTGATAAAAACACTTAACAAAGTAGGAATTAAAGGAAACTTTGTCAATCTAATTAAGAGCATATATACAAAACCAATAGCCAATATCACTTTCAACAGAGAGAAACTGAAAGTCTTCCCTTTGTGAACAGGAACCAGACAAGGATGCCCTTTTTCATCACTCCTATTTAATATTGTGTTGGAAGTTTTAGCTAGAGCTTTAAGGCAAGAAAAGGAAAATCAAAGGCATCCAAATTGGCAAAGGGTAAGTCAAACTATGATCCTATACATAGAAAATCCCAAAGACTCAGAAAAAAAAAAATTATTTGAACTCATTGGAAGATTCAGCAAAGATTAATATACAAAAATCACTTGGATTCCTCTGTACTGCTAAAGACAGCTCTGAAAAGGAATACCATTTACAATAGCCACCCAAAGGATGAAATATTTAGGAATAAATCTAACCAAAGAAACAAAAGACCTATACAAAGAAAACTGCAAAACACTACTACATGAAACCTACTACCAAAGAGATATACAAACATGGAAGAATATACCATGCTCCTGGATAGGATGACTTGACTTTGTAAAAATGTTAATACAACCCAAAGCAATCTATAGATGTAACACAATCCCAATTCGGATTTCAACAGTATTCTTTAAAGAGATGGAAAAAATGATCATGAACTTTATATGGAAAGGAAAGAGAGTCGGATAAGAATTTAGAATGGAAGACTTTACGTACCATTCATTTATCTATCCAACAAATTTTAGAGGTCTTTTCATGTACTAGATACAAACCCTGCTTTTAAGGAATCCATTGCCCATGGGAAGACAGACCTGTAATGAAATCTCACTGCTCTGCAATATTGTTGCTGTTAATTGCCATCGAGTCAGTTCCGACTCATAGTTACCCTGTATAGGATTTCTGAGACTTTAAATCTTCATGGGAGCAGTAGATATGCAATAATAGAGTTAAATACTAAGTGCAAAAGTAGTATACTAACTGTGTGAAAGATGTGGTTAGGGAAGGATTTTCAGAAGACCTGTGTAGAATCTCGGTTGGATTAGAAAGCTGAACAGAATTTGCCACATGTCTGTCATAGGATGAAAAGGGCATCCTAGGGCTTGCTACTCAACATTGTCTATGGGTCAGCAGGCTTGGTATCACCTGGAGCTTGTTAGAAATGCAGTCTCGGTTCCCACCCCAGACCTCTGTATAAGAAGAGCAGTTAACAAGTTCCCGAAGTGATTCTTTTGTACATTGAAGTTTGAAAAACACTGATCTGTGATACCCTGTTCTTCAAAACATAGTTATAGGTCTCTGATTTAGAAATGAACTGTATTTGTCTGCTAAATTGTGTTACAAATTATTTCTGAAGTCAGAATCTGGATAAATAACTTGAAAGTACTTTTCAAACATCTGTGAAGCAAGGTTTTTTTTTTTGCTGTTGAAGGCCCTTTAAATTTAACTGTTGTTGTTATATGCCGTGGAGTTGTTTCCGACTCATAGCGACCCTCTATAGGGTTTTCGAGGCTGTAAATCTTTATTGGAGCAGAAAGACTCATTTGTCTCCCATGGAACAGCTGGTAGTTTCAAACTACTAACCATAAGATTAGCAGCCCAATTCATACACACTATGCTACCGGAGGCACTGCTTTATTGGTTTACTTTAACTTGAATCATGTTAATTTTAAAATCTTGTAATGATGACTTTTGTCCTAGGCCTATGGCACCCTTCCGTTGGTCATCTGTAACCTGATTTTCAAGTTGTTGTTGTTAAGTGCCATCAATTCCGACCCACAGTGACCCTGTATAGGGTTTCCAAGGAGCAGCTGGTGAGCTTGAACCACTGACCCTGCAGTTCAAATGACTTTGCAGTCTGACACATTAGCCCACAGCACCACACTTTTATTGAGCATTATATGCCAGTTTGGGATCGCTAGGTACTTTATCCATTAAATCATTTAATCTTCCTATGAAGTGAGCATGTTTAACCCTGTTTTATTGGCAAGGAAACAAGCTCAATTTCAACAAGGGTTTCAAGGCTGTTTTGGGTGGGAATTCAAATTCAAATTGGTCTGAGTCCAAAAAACATAGAAATTGCTCCTGATTTGTCTATTGTTGTTGTTAAGTGCTGTTTAGCTGATCCCGACTTATATTGACCCTGTGTACGGTTTCTGCGGAGCAATTGGTGAGTTTGAACTGCTGTCATTGAAGTTCAAACCGACTTTGTGGTCGAGTGCTTGTCCTACAGTATCACACCAAGCCCCATCCTGATTTGTCTAGCATATCTTATAAATTTAGACCATTGGCATAGTCTGACCGCTAACTTGGAAAAGTAATTTTGTGCGCACATTTTATTTCATCCATCCATAAACAGGTGAAGAGGAGAGTATTTTGGTTAACTGTATACAATAGTCTGAGTAATTGTGGTAACAGGTAGGCATTTCATGGTTAGTCAGTCTTCAAAGTATTGCAGTTACTCCCAGTGGTAGTGAATTTTGTTGAGTCGCTTAGTAAACCCTTTAACTAGTTAGGAAGCTGATTAATGAAAGACCTAAAGATGCTGCTTCTTTGATTTTAGCTTTGGAGCATTATAACTATGTGATTCTCATTACTGGGCCAGCAGCCCAGCCCTTGGGGTTGGAGGTTGGAACCCATGTCTCTGACACTGTGTGAGTCACCCCAGCTGCTCTCCCCACCTCCTCCAGAAAGCATGAGTTTTTGGTAACATTTCAACTGTCTAATTAACTTGTTAATTCAGATCTCTTGTTTATGTTCTTTGTCATTTCGCCTTTCTCCTAAGACCAGGACTGGTGAGAGCTGGGCTGCTTGAGTGCCCTGATTGTTTTTGGGTACATGGGAGTCTCCTGCTATTTATTTGATTCACCATCTTTGTGCTCTGTCTAGCAGCAGTGGAAACCCTTGCCCTGGCCCAGTGTTACTGAGACAAAACTCTCAGGGTTTGTAGTTTAATCAGACTCAGCTGCTGACATTAATGAAACAGGATTTCCCAGCAGGGTCAGAAGCAGCTAGTTAGTGAAACAAGAAGTGCATTGGGGGCCACATCATCACAGAGATGTTCAGTCTCCCTATGGGAGTCATTACTTGTGTGACATTGATTTTAAAAGGTGAACCTTTATCTGGTCAGGAAAATTGGGATGTGATGGGATAGGATTAGAGAAAGGAGGAGGACTTTACATTCCCTCTTCATAGTCTTTAGATATTATGGTGAAGGTTAACCAGAGGTGATTTTGTCCCTTAGGAGAAATTTGCAATATTTAGAGACATTTTTGTTTGTCACAGTTTGGGGATGCCACTGACATCTAGTGGGTAAAGACAGGGATGTTGTGTAACATCCTACAGTGCAAGGGCAGCCCCCCCACATAAGAGAATGAACCATTCAAAATGTAAATAGTGTCAAAGGTGAGATATGCTGCCCAAGACTGACGTGCCCAGTGTTAGATGGTTAGCAGTGGCAGTTTTCACATCAGAATCACTGTTCAGTTTGTATGAGAATTTGGGATGCGTTCTCT